TCCGATCAAATTATGGATACATCCGATGAAATTTATTCAATGAAATACAGTTACCGACGACACTTGATCGAGACACCGATCACATTTTTCATTGGATATGCAATTTAATCGGATCCATCCGTTTGTTATTATGCCATTGAATTATCCGATTATATTTAATCGGACATGTTTCTCAGTGTAGGTTTATCCGATGAAAATTGTTCTCTGCGTACTAGTTTGCTACTACGATCAATAGCTAATATTGATTCGGTGATTCGAAGCCTCGATTCGAAACAGCCGCCATACGATCGCGCGCGACCCAGTTATTATTGCTCAAGTGTTTCTTCCGAATTTAACCTTCAATAGGATCTACATTCTTTCGTTGATGTCCGAGCGCATTAAGGCGATCCGGACTACTCCCAAAAGTAGACGCGCAAGTCCACCGCAGGTCCGTCAGAGGTCAAAGATCGCAGACGCAATCCGACGAGTGTGACGCGCGGCTTCTTCTATCCGTCTAGTTAATAAACGCCCGTCAGTTCACACGGTCAGTGAAAAGGGCAAAAAAAAGTATGCGGCGCGGAAGGGGAGCGCAAAAAATTTGATGGGCGGAGAAGGCCGTGTCATCTGCTTTTCGGCTTGGGAGAATACCGAGCATCGTGCTCCCTCGCTCGACGCCGCTCGAAAAACGCGAAACGCTGCCGTCAACATGCCCTATAAAATATGCGCGCTAATTGCGTCGTCAACTCTCACGAGATCAAACGAGGGAGCAAATATCGCAGCGCTAAATAATTAAAAATAAAACTGTACGCGTCAGCAAAACTGTTCATTACGCAACGCGTGAGAAATGTTAAAATAAACGTATACGTAATCAATAGTTACGTTTGCGCGCGCGACTTGAAGCACTCAATCGACTTAAAGGAGCCATAATAGGAATTAATGAAAATGACGAAACTACATAATACGATATCGAGCACGGGTATAGATTCATCAGTGACACGTCGACTGCCATCAATCATTTGAACAGGGAAACGATACGCAAATGGATCTATGAGATGTTTGAAGCTCAGATCACTCGTTAGCCGATAAGTGGTCAATCATTCATCTGGAAACGATATTGAGCCCCGATTACATCGCGGCTATAAGTTTCTCGTAAAGACCACGTTAAGGTATACCGTGCCGACCGGTAGCAGCACTCGCAGGCACTATCTGAGAAATAGTAGGAGGCTAAGAAGCGACTTCCGCACCAACTAGTTTTAACGATGAGCCATCGGCCGCCACCTACCTCGCCCCTCTCGCGGTACGACGGGACTCTTCTTGTTTGTTTGCGCTGCATCGACATGCACCGATGCACTCGCGATGCACCGGTACGCGCCAAAGGACGACGCGGAACCGAGGCGACGCGACGCACGCACGCACGCACGCACGCACGCACGCCACGCCACGCTCGCGTGCTCGTACGCCCGATCGAAATCAGCGAACCGCAAGCGAATGACGAAAACATGATCTGTGGTAGCAGATCTGATAAACGAATACAAAAGGCACGAAATGTCTAGCGTGTTTCATCAATTTTTTTTAGATCGCTAGAAGATTTACTCGATCTAAGTTGATCGTGCATCAATTTACTCTTAACGAATGATCGGGAATTATTTTTAGACCGGTGGCACTGAGAAAATTATGCTGACAGAGAAAACCCCGCTGACGGTCAGTGATTTTTCGGATTGATATTATTTAACGTCCCAAATACGCGTTGTCATGTAACAAAATTGTTATTATATATTATTTATGTAGAGTTGGGGTATCATTAGAACACCGGCGATATAAATTCCACTCTAAGCTCTAAGCAAATTTTCCACGTGTATCCGCCGCAGCTAATGAATATTTAAAGCAGTCACATGGGAATGTAATAGTGACACCTGTAACCAAACGCGCCTTACGCGAATTCGCAAACAAGAACCGGTTCGTGTTCTCGGGTGCCATGCCATTGGCGTCGTTTAGTTAGGTAAAGTCTCTAAAACAGATGTATAAACATCGGACCAGGAAGGGAATACGCGGAAAAACGAGCAACGCGGCGAAGAAACCACTCGGGGGACTTGTTTCGGGTTTTCGCGATCGTGGCTAATTTGTCGCGACATACCTCGCCGTTGGCGATCGACGCGACGGAGCGATCGATAAGGCCGATGATCGATTTTATTGTGCGGCTAAGTGAGCAGTGTTATGGCATGCTAAACGGATACACCGAGAAGGATGTACCGCGCTGCGAGACTGCAGGACGACTTTCCCACCCTTGTGTATACATTAAACAAGGCACGCGTAATTTAGATCAACATCAAGCAGCTTTAATTAAGGGAGACGAGAAATTTATCCGGACGGAATCATCCGCTCGTCGCGCACGGTCCGCCGCGCGAGAGAAATCATTGGCTCTTAAGGTGATCAGTTGGATAATGAAAAATATTATGGGCGAAGCTCACGGCGATTCCTTTCACCGCTCGAGTCTTCCGTTTCGGGCCTAAGAAGTCGGGGAATCGAGTCACTTCCACGGAATCAGAATCGATTATCGCAAAGAGAAAGTGGGCGTCGATTCGCCCGACCTTTTTAAATCAGCCGATCCTCGTCTTCTTCATTCAGAGATCCGGTCGTGTAAACGCGATTACGTGAAACGCTCGAACCTTTCACGATTCGTATAAACATGCTTTTAATAGCGAAGTTGCAAAACATCGCCGTCTAATCGCGCGGGGATAAAGATAGAACGAATGGGACTTTTGAATGCGGGTGATACGCGTACGATGATTGATCACACCCGCAGGCTACGCGAGATTTCAAATACGATTATCTTCTTAGCGTTCACAGCAGATTTTACACGACGCGCTACATCACGAGATTTAATTATAAAACAAAGATATCAAACCAAAAGATCTCATAACGGCAACGTTCGAAAAGAATGTAGAAAAATCCTTCTACTATCTATTATTAATTATCTATTCAAGTAAAATGTCTTCGCTGTAATAAAATTTCGACTAATATCTCTATTAATGTTATAGGCAATTCGATACCGTCACGTTTTAACAGTAATTCCATTTACTCATTAAGGAGTCTAATATGTTATTAAAACTGCCTGGCTTTGTATTTCCCTTATGCGGCTTCTCTCATAATAGCCCAACAATTGCAAAATTTCTCCATCTTTCAGGATTGGTCTTACCATTTCTACATGCTAGAAATGTAACAGTGCGGACTCAACGTTGACTCACCTTAACCTTGGCGAGATAGAGCTCCAGTTCCCTGTACGGATCCATCTCCGCCGCCTTTCCACTCGTCACCTTGTCATTTTCGTCACTTTGCACGAGCTTCAACCGATTCGGCATCTTCGCGTCGGTCGAACCATTTTGCAGACGACCACCACCTTCCTGCACAGTCTCCATGCTCCCACGGTCACCTCGACGATCTTACACGCATTTTATCGTGCATCTGCAACACCGAACAATATAAATCAATGACGACAAAGAATGGAACGAATCTATTTGTCGCGCGAATAACAGCTACATAAAATAATTGTTGCGTTCAAAATGCGAATGTAAAGATTCAAGTGCACAAGACTGAACGACAATTTAGACAATTCGTCAGAAATCGATCAATTCAAAAGACTTGAGGTTTCAGTTGGTGAAACAAGATTTGAAAAACAAAACATACAACCTTTTTCAAGAGCGGGCCATTAGTATCTAATATTAACAGATAAATCAATAGAGAAATTACAACGCTTACGATACGAGAGAGCGAGAAAGGAGCCAGAAGGCCAGAGAGGGACCTATGGGTGTATTCTGGCAAAGGCATTATACATATAATTAGCCCCGCCGTGACTCACTGTGGCCGCAGCGTCGCGCGGCCCGTATAATCTGGGCTTGTCAAATACTTGAAAAGGGTAAAATGACCACCTGCGCTGTTATGATTGCATTCGGCTAAATATAACGGCCGCACTCGCGTTAGTCACTGGAGCTAATTATATTCCCGCGCAGATTAGCCGCACCGTCCGCACGTGTGGCTAATCTGAAATCACTTTGTGTCCAATTCCCCACTGCTCGAAATTGTGTCGTGTCGCCCCGTCGCTCGCGACGATCTCGTTCTCTGCGAAGCGGAGACGTTCCCTTCGAGACGAAGGAAGCTATCGAGAGACCCGGCGGATGACTTTATTGTAGGCATTTTTATGCCTCGTATACGTTGCTTTTTTATACGCGTCGCGATTTTTAGTATCGGCCGTTAACTCGCGAATGAAATTTTTGATAACTCGCGCGATAAAAGCAATCTGCGTAGCGCATAAACATTTACGTTATAGGCCGTAATTTATATAATAAAAATCGTACGCGCGCGAGGCTGGCAAATTATTTTGCAAACTAAACATTTTGTCAACTCTCTACGAATGCTGATATATTAACAAGGTACTGTAAAAGTTTCGAGATTACGGGGTAGACGAAGCTGGTGCTGTCGATGCGAGGCGACACAAGGGGCGTGTGAAGTGCTGCAAAATGCAATCTGGCGGAATAATTTCTCTCATTTCGTTCAGCGACGTGGCAGAGACGTGGCGGCGACGGATTGATATTTCTGCGCATGGAGTTACGTTAATCGCACCGAGACAAGTGCGATAGTGAAACTAAAATATGAGCACGGCTTTACGCTCCGGCGAGCCGGCTAATAATAATTAACATTACATTTTATACTAGCTTTCGACTACCGTATACAACTTTATCGTGGCGAGTATCTAACCCACTTGCGAAAAAAATATGGACTCACAGGTAGCGCGATCTTATCTAGCAACTTAATACAGCTCTATCGAGTTTTATTATTGTTGCAAAATGAACTCTCGTAATCGGTTACGGTGAGTTTTGCTCGTTAATGAAAAGATTTAATTCATTATGCCTTATCGCAATCAGGGCTCTGCAATTTATTAAAATCTCAGAAAAACTCTACGCTGAGAAAAATGTTCCGATTAAATATAATTGGGTAATCCAATTACATAATAACAAACGGATATGTCCGACGAAAAATGTGATTTCATCGGTAACTGCATTTCAGCGGATAAATTTCGTCGGACGTATCCATAATTTAATCGGAAAACGTAATCGGAAAAATTATACCATCGGAAAAACTATTTAATTGGCTTATCCGAGGGGGAAACCGCATTGTGGTTTACAGATTTGCGGCATTACTGGGCATTACTAGGCATTTTTGGGCATTAGTTTGGGCATTAGGCCTTGCTGGGGCATTATAAAGATAAAATAAGATAATATGAGATAATAAAATAATAAGATAAAGTAATACCCACTAGGCATTAGTAGGCATTGGTGTACAAGATTTTGGTCAGCGGTTTCCCCCTCGGGTTTATCCGATGATAATTTTTCTTACTGTAGGCATTTTTTGGGCATTAGTGGGTGTTATTTAGCCTTGCTGGGGCATTATAAAGAATCTAAAAAGATAAAACACGATAAAATAAAATAAAGTAATGCCCACTGGACATTAGTGAACTGAGAAAAATTTTCATCGAATAAACTACTTACTTTTTCGATTAAATTATGTATATGTCCGATGAAATGTAGTTACCGATAAAATTTGATCGAAAATCCGATCATATTTTTCATCGGATGCATCAGTTTGTTTTTATGTAATTGGATTATCCGCGTATATTTAATCAGACATTTTTCTCAGTGTTGGCATCGGTGTATATAAGTTTGGTCAGCGGTTTACTCGTCGAAATATCCATCGCGATCAAAATGTTATTCAGAGTCTCGTTCCTTCTAGGCGCGGTAGAATTTCACGCAAGTGAAGAGGAAGAAAAATGACAGGAACTAGGCACTCCTTAGCACAAGTTACGCAACGTATTAAATGAATCATATCGGTATAATTAAATCGATCGTATTTTACCCGATGCGTTTGTTACCCGTGTATCTCGGTAGATCTACGTGCACGCGATCGCGAGATTGCGAACCGATTGCATCGCGACCTGCCTGAAGAATACAATACGGTGACCGTTACAATCATTGAACTCGCCAACAATGAAGTCATGCATGAGAACACGAATCGCCTGCCCGCGCACGTAATATTAGAAAATCACCGGATGTCTAATCGTGGCCGGCTGCCGGCAGCCAATACGTCAGGTGATTTCACAGGTGAACGACGGTGCTCGTCGCGTCTTACGTAAGTACAGCTCACGCCGGATAACAGCCACGTTTAGCGTGAAAATGTAACTCTACAAGACCAAAATCCTTTCCCGAGCTGTCGAGAAAACTGAAACGTTAATGGATCATTCTGAGGCTATCTGTTTCAACGATAAAGAAATCGGGTTTTAAAAAATTGTTTTGTAAATACCCCTCACTTTTCTATCCGTCTTTACGTTGCAGTTTGAAAAATCAGAGTCGAAATCTCTCGAACGTTTGAATAAAATCAAATTGCACTAAAATACGTGAACGGCAGAATAAATGATCGAGTTTTCGCTAAGCAAATTAAAAAGTTCTCCTATATATCCCGATTAATAAAATTAAGATTTATGTCTCCGGCTCTCCATTCTTTCGTCTATTGTTCGAAAATTGCAATCGAAATTTCGACTCGTCTGTCAGAAAGACTATAAGACGTGGGAATTTGTGGCTCGCGATAGGTAGGCGAGGGTTGTCAGGATGCCTCGTAAATAATTACGATGCCTCCCGGTACCGATACCTCACCCTAATCGAATACCATTCTGCGAGAGGCGGACACGGGCCGTTGGTTAAACTGAATTAAACAACCCGCTAACCGCGAAAGAGAAAGAGAGAGAGAGAGAAAGAGTGACGCGCGCCGTTCTTATCAGTTGGGAATTATTGCCGGTAATTTACCCCGCGATCCTTTTGCTCCTGGGCGCGTTCACACCTGGGTGGCTCGCAGGAATACAGACGGAACAGATCGCAGATCGACTTCGCGGCATGTATTAACTACCAACGCCTCTACTGCGTAAATATCGATACGTCGAGATTTTATCTGCACGACATGAATTTGATATTCCGATGGTTTTTCTTTGCAAATTATATCCGTTGAATTTCGCAGCGTTCAACAAACAGCTGCGATGCAGGTTGCATCTTCTTTCGAAATCTGATCTACAAATGAAAATTTAATTTATCGAATTAAATGGGACATATTATTGAAGTATATAAAAATGTGAAATGTGAGAATTAGTTTGCTACGCGCATAAAGATACACGTGAGTGTTAATATTACTTCTCGTTAGTATTGATCTTATAATCGTGTTAAAATCAAAAGACTCTTTGAAAACTGCTTTTCGCTTTCAGAGAAAACTAAAGGTTTGTATGAATTTTCGCGTCGATATATTGACTCGCCACTTAGATACCATGAAATATTCAAATATTTCCGCATGCGTGGGCGGCCGTAATTCAATTCGCGAGATTTTTACCCTTCCGGAGCCTCGCTCTTCCCAAGGTGCGATACGTCGGCGATAATTGTTTTTAGTGTCTTCTCACCAGGAAGGCAGACACGACGGCTTCGTGCTAATCGAAATCGTAAATCCGGCTGATAAGGGCACGGAGTGTTCCACGTACGACACATTTGTTACGCGGAACGGAGCTTTAAAGCTGTTTTCGCTTCTTTTTACGACGCATTATTATCGCACATTCTCGGACGCTGTTACGTTCCGCACGATCTTTGTTTCCGTCACGTTACAACGAGGTGTGATCTCGTCCACGTAGGCGAGAATGATACCCGGTGATTTCGCAACGTGCGCAACAACGAGACTAACGGGGAAAAATTGTTATCCGCGCGCTGCGCAAACGGCTGTTTGCGATTTCCGAAAATTTGAATCCGCCAATTATGTCGACGCGGTTGAAACAGAAGTTACAGTTCGCCTTAAAATCAAAGTCTAGCCAGCTGTTAAAAATGGGGCACGAAAGGATGTAAAATGTTAAGCGATAAACACAGCTCGCTCCTATGTATCGACGCATTGTGCACAGTTTATCTGCGAGGTCGCGGATAGTTGGTGGGACCACCCCAGGAGAGGCCGAGTTACGTAAGGTTAATTGCGGTCATTCGGGCCGCCATGCAGTGCTCGATACTCGTGCAGAACGCGTCAATGCGTGTTCTGTGCATGTGCATCGACGGGGACCATAATCACGGGGGACCTTGCTCCCGAGACCCTCCGATACTTTATATAACGTGCACTCGTGCGGGGGCCCGATTAGGATTATACGTCCGTAAACTTGTATTGCCTGCCGTCCCGAATTCGAAACGCGACCGTCGGATTCGTTTTATTTTATTAGCTTACCCGTCTGTCAGGTTAATCCGCAATTAATCCGCTATCGCGACCGTTATCTCGCTTGTAATTTATGTTAAATTATTCCGCCCGGCCCCGGCGCGTTCTAATAAACCGCCGCGAACGCTAATTCTATTAACTACTTTGACACACTAAGGCCGACGTCTGGAAAAATAGCGATCGGAAAA